CAGTTGCGGTCAATCATTATTTATTTAGATCCATTAATGAGATGAGATACCAATTTATTAAATATTAAATAAAAGTTCAAGCAAATAAGTAAATGTGGTCACTAATGGAGCAATTGTGCGTGAGCAATTGACATATTTTTTCGTTTTATTGTTTGGAAATATAGTGCATTTTTTGATTTTTAATATAATTCTTATTTATTATCGGCGGAAAGGAAATTTGGTTTAAAGCCTGTTAATTGAAATAATGGAGAGATTTTTTCCTAGCAAGCAGGTATTAATGTAGACAGATTTTCAAAATTCTTTTGAAAACACTCACTATTTACTGGTTAGACTCACTCTGCTGACTTGTGCATTAGGCAGATATGGAGGAAATAGAAGTACAGATGGATCGCCAGCATCACTCGTATTAGATCCACTCCTTCTGCGCTGCGAATCGAGCAACAACCCATTGAGCTATTCTTCTTCTTCTAACAGCTCTCACCATTACTGGGTAGGCTAACTTCGCTGGCTACAAGGTTAAGACTCTCCAAGCTGCTTGATCCAGCTGCTATCACTAGTGGTAATAGAAGCCATTCTTTTTTCCATCGTCTAAATCCATGTGTCGCTGGTTCTCTTGTACGTTCAAAATCTTTCCTGACTGTATCAGTCCAGGTCTTAGCTGGTCCTCTTTTCTTTTGATGCCAATCATCACAGGGTTCGGCAAATAGCGAAATATGCGACAACTGTTGTGGTGGAAGACGGAAAACGTGCCCTAACCATCGAAGGCGACGCTCTGTGATAACATTATTAATAGAGTTGGTATTTGAGCGAAGTCATGTGCGATTTTCTCCGTTTGACGGATCTGTAAACTGAGCCATTCTATTATCTTATGTTATCCTTCCTTAGAGATTACAGCCAGAGGGAGAATAGTGTGTCGGTGGATTCGAACCCATCCCTCGATTCAGGCAGTTATCTAGCCAGTTTCAAACCACTTCATTATGCGCTATTTATGATGCGCTGAAGGCTTTCTTAGGAGTTTTAGTGGGTCATAATCTATGGAATATTTTTACGATTTATTTCACAGCAAGATCTAGTAATAATAATAAATAATATAAAGAGGTTTTTACTGTCAAAGCATTACTGTCAAGTTTTGCTTAAAAAAATGTGGCTCGACAGTTGCTAAAGAGGATTAAGAACGATTTAGCGGGATGAAGGATTCTGAAGAAGTTATCGAGGAATCTAAAGTGGAAAAAGGTTTAGGATGTTAGGATGATGTTATTAATGGAGTATGATTCGATAAAGATTAAGGGAAAGTGGCTAGATTTTGAAAGACCTTGAGTTGATGGATTTCTAAGAAGTTTCTTGGAAGGTATCACTATATATATGAGGATGAATTACATCGGGATGAAGTGTTACTGAGGTAGAAAAGAATGTAGATAATTTTGAACAGGGATTTTGATATGAATATTTGACTGGGTTTGCAGGTTTTTAAAGATACAGATGAATTTCTTTATGTCTGCACTCACCCACATACATATTAATGGCAGATTGTTATATAGGTATTCATAGAAATCATTTCTTTTGAGACAAAGTTGAATTCAACTTTTTTAAATTTAAAAAAAATTTTTCTAATTACTTAATTTTTTGGTATTATTCTGATATTTTTCATTTTAGTTCGTTTTTATTTTATATTTTGCTGTTTTCTTTTTTATTTTTTTAATAAATCTCTTTTTAAATCACTTTTTTTAAATTTTATTTTGCTTCAATAATTTTCGTTATTCAGCTATAATTTCGAAAAATTTTTTGAGAAAGATTCGTCATAAATTCGCAGAGCCAACAATAAATTTTCATGGATCAACTAGATGATACTTTAATGCAGCAATTTATGGATCTTACTGGTAAGTTTATTGATTATTTTAGATCAAATCCCAATCAAATATTTTCTTAAAATTTTTCAGTTTTTTCAATTAATTTAATTAATTAATTTGAATTAATTAAATTGAATTAATTAATTAATTTTGAATTAATTTTATTATTTTTCTGGATTTTGTCTTTATAATGGTTCAGTTTTATTTACTCGAAAAGCAATTTTCTATTTTTTTATGATGTATTAGTTTTGAGTGAATGACGATGAATATGTCGATGGAGAGAACCATTTATAATATAATTTTTCTGTATTGAAAAATACTTGTTAATATCATAAGTATTTATGCGATTATGCATTGTTCTGGTTATTTATTTAATCTACTTAAATACAAAACTAAAGCACTTAAGGAATTTTTCCTATGAGCGCACACTATCTCTATTAGACTTCCCTCATTAGTCTGTTGAGACAGACAAATTTTATCAGGGAGCAATAGAAGTACAGATGAATCGTCGCGTTCTTAGATTTTGAGGGGTAGGTTTACTCCTGCTGGCAATGAAATAAAATTTGCTTTCGCCATTCAGCAACATTGCCCGATGAAGCGTGGTGCATTAATCGGATTCGAATCGGAGTTCTAAGTGGCACTATCTAGCTATCTACCACTAAACCCACCGGAACAATTTTATTAGTAGTTTTTCTTTTGATAATTTAGCATAATTTTGTTTTCTAATAGAAATATCGAATTTTCATTGTTAAATTAATATTTTGAATTTAATAAATCTGTTAGAGTGTTGAGCTGTTTTAGGTAAAACATCAGTTTTTAAATTCTTTATATTTATTATGGTTCTATTAATTAAATTAATTATTAATATTGACAATGAATATTAGCTCAATTTAATTTTTTTCAGTTCTTCAGTTAAATTTAAATTTTGCTAAATTTAAATTTAAATTTTGCTAATTAGTGATTACAACAAAAACGATAACAATAAAAATATTGTTGATAATAATAATGAATAAAACGATCGAAATCAAAAGAATAATCATGATAATAATTTTAATGATGGCAGTAATAATAATAACAATAATTACAAAACTTTTCTCATTCTCTGTGGATAGTTTATCCTCAGCCTCGGGTCGTCTAGAAGAGGCCTGGAAGATTGGGAGATTCTGCGAGTTGTCTTAGCTATTCCTAATAGTGCTCTTCTAACTCTTCCTAACTCTTCTAGATAGAGTTCTTTGGTTTTGTTCCTGAAGTCACTTTTCTAGATTAGATATTGCGGTTTCAAATGCTCCAGTTATTACTGAAATTACTTTGGCCTTTATTTTTCACATTTTCTCTAGTTCTCTATCAGCCCTTCGTATTCCTATATACTTCTCATTCTGTATATTCCTATATACTTCTGTCCTCCTTTATACTTCTCATATTGCTGCTTCCACGTTACTGTTGATTGGTATCGCTATATCAATCACTAGTGCTGATTTCTGATTCTTGTCTATTACAATGTTGTCTGGTTTATTGGCCAGTTCTTTGTCTGTTTTGTTGAAGAAATCCCATAGGATCTTCGTCTTATTTTCTACGATTATCTGAGGAATGAATCTTCCATTTAATCTTAAAACAGTCTAAGCCATATATCGAGCAGATGATCCTGATGGTGATGCCAGCTACTTGGTATGCCTTGGTATTTATTGTTCCTGGTTGCATTTTACATCCTTCTACTATCTTTTATACATTCTGCACTTAATGTAGTATCTAGTGTTGTAGATGTTTGTTTCGATGGATTTATTGCTTAATGCTTGCTCCTGCTTTGCTATAATCAGTGCCGCAGTGTTGCCTTTCAGTCCAGCTTTCTCCATTCTTTGATAGGATTTCATATCGTCATTGGTGCATGGAGAGCCTTGCTTTGCCATGGTATTTTCTCTGCTTCATCGCTTTCTACTGTTTATATATACATGCTTCAGACATTCTCTCAGCAATTCATCCTTTGGTGCCATCTTGTTGATTATTTCTAAACGCTTCGAGTTTCATTCAAGATAGTGGTTTTCATACTCACCAAGTCCCACCCGCCTTTATTTCGATAGCCTTTGGATATTGGAATTAGGGTGTAAATTTCCGTGTATTGTGAGGAATTTGGTCTTAACATCCATATTTTCCTCTATCCATCTTGCAGTGCCAGCTGCATACTTGATGACTGCAAGGCATATACGTACATGGCATGGATTTTGTTTTTCTCATTTAGCTAGCTGTTCAAGATTATCTTTTGATGGCACTTAGATGTTTCAGTCTTCGTTTTTTTTCTCATCTTGATTGTCATATGTGAAGTTATTTGTAGCTAGCCTATATATCCCGATGAAAGGTCCACCTCATTATTATTTTTCCTCTTTTTTCTACCATCCAACCACATCTCACCAATTCGAATGACATCCCAATGTCCTCTCTGTAGATTCAAGTTAGATGGATGAGCGAGTCAATATCTCGTTCATTTTATAATTTGATGATAAAAGATGGTTGATGTTAGTCCAACTCTTGAATTTGTTTTGAATTTGTTTTCATATCCGCTTCTAGTGATTATCTTACTGAGAGAATTCAGACCTATGGAGAACAATAGGGGATACATCGCTTAAGTATATGTCTCACTTGGTAGCTGCTTATACGCAAGCTATTTCGAGTTGATTTCAAATGTCGTTTTGTCCCACTGAATTCTCAATGAATTTCTGTAGAGTCTTGTTGATTTTATACATAGCCAGGCATTCACAAGTCCATATGTGCCGTATTAAGTTACAGGTATTTCTATAATCAGTCCAAGCTGATTGCTACCAGGATTTTGAGTCTAGAATACTGCCTTATCTATGAGCAGGTGGTGTTTGGAGCCTCTAATGTTATTCTGAATTCCTTTTTGAATTGCGCTCATGTACTGATTTATGTGGTCATGAAGCTTGATGGCTATGATGCCTGACTTTCCATAGAACAGTAGGAGAGACAATGCTTAAGGTAGGCAGATTATTGGTTCGATAGTTGGACGATATTGTGTTTTGAAGCTCTTTCATGACCAATACCATCCTTCCTTGTGTTAACCAGTTTGAGAGCCTCTAGTAGCTGGCTCATCTTTGTGGTTAGGTGCTCGTGAACCACTGTTAGCTTTTTTTTTTGCCAGTAGATGAGAATTATATCCAGAGCAGGTGCTATCCAATTTTTTATATTTTTGAATCGTTGTTGGGTGCCAGCAACTGTGATGGTAGCTGGTTCCTTCCCTGGGAGATTATTGTAACTTGTTCTCGGGTCTTGCAATCACTTTACATTATGTGTTATGTATTTTTTTCTTCCATATGTTCTTCGAGTATTCCATAATATTAATAGTGATAAAATAATAAATATTTAATAGTATTAATAATGAAATTATTATTCAAGCCAGTAAAAATTTTTAAATTCTATATCGAAAAATTGTAGAGTATATTTTTGAAAGAGTATACTTTTAGGTTGTAATCAAAAACAAGCCAAACATTTTCTAACTGCAAGTAATGGTGATATGGCTAATGCAGTTGAATTATTTCTTCGGAAAACAATGCGGTCTGATGAAGTTCCGTCCACATCATATGCTAGACTCGGAAATTCTCGTCCATTTATTGCTTCTAATAGTTCCAATTCTGGTGCTTTTCCATTATTAACTAATCGACGTGAACCGTAAGTTACCAAATTTTATTCAATATAGTTTGAAAGAATTTAGGATGAAAATGATGCAATTAACTTCAAGAATAATATATTTATCTTTTGGAAAATAATTCCCTTAACCACCTGTTATCAGTGAAATTTTGAATCTTTTTTTTTCGTATGTAACAATTTCATAAAATTAGAAAATTTAGCATGCAGCCACAAAATTTTTCATGATGAAAAGAGGTTGAAGTTGCAGGAGTCATAATTTGCTTGCCGGTTTAGTGGAATGGAGTTCTTCAACTGTGGGCAGTCGCTTTGTTGAGGATCCCAAGAAACTAATTAGTAAAACTTTTTTTAAATGTATTTCTCATTTAAATGTATTTCAAGAAATAGCAAAATTTATAATCTTAAACCTAAAAATTATGAGTTTTGATTATTTATTTTTGCTGTCATTAATTTTAAATTAGATGAAATCTTTAAGACCGTTCGAAGATAAATAGTTTTTAATTACAGAAGAAGATCGTGTAAATCATGGTTTACCGTTGACGAGGATCGGTAATGATCTTTTTCACTTGGCAGTGATTAATAATTTCCTTTGTTTTCTTTTCATTTTTTTTTAGCAATTTTTGGATTTATTTTACCAAATTTATTTCTTTTGCACTTTCATGAAAAAACTTTTTCATGATTATATGATTTATATTCATGAAAAAATTTTTTTGAGTAGTCCTTTCTAAATTGCTGCCAAGTTTCATTTATGCATTCTTTTTTTAAGATTCTCTTTTCGTTTTTTTTATAGTTCAAATTATTTATCGTTTTAGATGAATTGGCCAGTGAATTGGGAAGGAATTGCAAAGATTCTTTGCAATCACTTTTTTCTCCGCCGATGGACATTATTTTTCGGGGGGATTGGGAATCCGTAAATTTACTGATTTATTTATTCAAATTTTTATTTCATCTATTTCTTACCTATAATTTTCTTTAATACAAAAAATATGAAAATTAAAAAGCAAATTAAAAATTTAAATTTAATTTATAAATTTAAAAAAGGCATTTTCCCAAGTAAAAAATTGTTTATTATGTTTAAGGCAAAAATGGAAGCGCAACGAAGAGGATCTTGGCTTTTTGTCAATATGCAAGACACTCAAGAATTTGAATCACAGATTCTTAACAGAGATATTTGGTCAAATACTGGAGTTAAAGAAATCATGAAAACATTCGTTTTTTGGCAAGTAAGACTTGTATTTCATTTGTACAGTTATTGCTAAATCGTATTATTAATGTGTACTAAAACATATGCTTGAGGTTCACATCTCTCAATCTTTTTTTGTTGCAACTTTTTTTTTTTCTAGTAGTCCATGTAATTAGTTGGCTATAAGAATCCTAAAAACGATAGAAACTTTTTCCACTATCTGAGTCTCTGTACCGTCTATGTAAAATCTCTGTTAACCATAAGCAATTATTTTTCCTACTTACTTTCGACGTCATCCACTGTAGCAGCAACATTTGTATCAATTCCCATGATGAAGAAAAACAATCTAATGATTGTCATATATTATGATGATATTATTAATATTCATGCAATCAATGATTTTCCGATGAGCATTAAAAATTTGCTTTGTGCTTGATTGGTCAGATAGCTTATTGATATTCTTCCAATTCTCATTTGCCATGTTTCGCAACCATATGACAAGATTATGCACGATGCAACTAGGTAAATATGAACTTTTGTTTCATATTGATTTCTTTAAGTTAATTAATTATGGTTGTGGCGATTATCCATGCGCTTTCTTTACCATTTGTAATTGCTTATAGCAAGAAAAATGTGCTTATTAAGGTAATATTATGCGCATGGCTAACTTCTTCTTCTAATAACTCTTACCATTATTGTTTAGGCTGGCTGCATTTGCAAGGAACGTTTCCAAGCTACTCGATCTGATCCCATCGTCGATAGTAATAGAAACCATTCCTTTTTCCATCGTTTAATCCATATATTGCTGGTCCAACCCAGCAATGAGTTGATAAAGTAGGTATTTTATCAGCATCTTGTATATAAGACGAAAACACTTTCGTTTTAATCCATATATTGATCCTGAGTCCGATTCTCGTTGCATTTGTCGATACATTGTTAGCACTATTTGCATTTTGTCGCAGCTGTCAGCAAAAAGGATGATTACGTCATCAGCGTATTCGAGGTTTGTGATACTATGCTATGCGCTGATTTGTACATCTGCTGAGTGCCAATAAACGATGTCCGCTATCCAGTCTTTCGCATAGTTGAATATTGCAGGAACTCTAACGGACACCAGTTTTTATTTCGAAAGGATTTGTCAATTCTCCACATACATGTGTCGATGCACACTGATAAAATGTTAGTATGAGGCGAATGGTCTCTTCTTTGGAACTCCGTCACATTTCAACACTTTCCAAAGCGCTTCTCTATCAATTGAATCGAAGGTGAATTGAAGCAGCAAAATCGATGAAAGTCAATGAAACGATAGGTCGTTAATATTCAAAGCGATATTGTAACATCCTTCTTAATATAAATATCTGATTTCTACAACGGATTTTCAATCTGAATCCAGCTTAATTAGGGCATATTCTGCTGTCTCGTACTGTCTATTCAGCAGGAGGGAAACGAAAATTTTCTCGAAGTCTAAAGAATTCCTCCGTGATTGTCACAATATTCCTGCTGCTTTGCTGCAATCATCTGATGCTGATACTTTTTGATACTGATACTGATACTATTTCTGTTACATGGCTTACATTCGTTGAAGATGCGTTATGAAGGACGATGGACAACATTCGATGAGTTCAGCCTGAGGACCACCTTCTCCTCGAGTTTTACGGGTTTAAGCTTGTGGATAATGAAGATTATTTCTTCTTCTGTTTGGCGGTTTGCAATTGCAAACATATGGTTCGACTATTATTTCCATGGCAACAGATGGCGTTTCGTGGTTAAACTTGGCCTCAACAAATTCCTTCTACCTTATGAAACGGTCCTTAATACTCTTAGCCGGTTCATTGCTGTCCCTTGCCATTTCATTGATCTCTCCGAGTTATATGCTTTGTGAACTTTATGAGTATGGCGAAATAACTTCCTATTATACCTAATCGAGTCGCCGTCTCCATTAACATCGATCCAACAGTGATTTTTGTCCTGCCGTCCTGGTGTCGCAATTCTTCAAAGTATCCAAGGTCCCCTGATATTCTTGCTTTGATAGCCTTTTCGGACAACTGGACAGCTTATACCCAAACAGTGCATTTCATATTAGTATATCCTAATGTAGAAATGGCTGACTTTCGGAAATATTCTTTAGTTGGGACCAGTATTCATTTGCCGTTCCAGAGATGTTACTGATGTTCATTTCACTGAGATATTTAATAATTTGGTTTGGAATGTACAAATCTTTTGAGTTTTAAATAATTGGATCTTAGGCTTTGCTTTGATAGCCTAAGCAAAACTTTAGGAAGCGAGCATAGGTCCTACGGTCATTTATGTCCTTTCTTTCAATCAGAACGGTTCGAACTTTTTCAGCCAGTCGCTGCGCCATTTCGCCCCGAGTTATCCAAAATACCACACTGATATAGCTAGTAGCTCGGAACCAGGTTTAATTGTTGCATGAGATCTGAAGTATAGAAAACGATAAGCAAGCGACATCCACAAGATATGAGTAGTGATCGCTTGGTTTGTAGCGTCCATAAGTGTTTTGTCGTTCCACCCTACTAAGGTTAAAACCATGCGCGCGAGCAGATTATCCTTCCTTTCTCTTGACACGTTTCGAGCAGTTATCCTGGAGAGTAGATCATATTCTCGAGGAAGCTTTGAGGTTGTTTGACTAAATCAACCGAATTGCATGCTTATTGCACCATCGGGCTAGGAGTATCATAGGCTTCGAATACCGTGCTAAGAAGATCAGATTTTTCATCATAGAAATCACTTGGGAATGTAGTTACAAGTCCTCTGCAACCACCTGGATTTTTGTTACGATGATAGGTATACTGTCAAAAACAAATATAAAAAAAGAAAAAAAGAAAAGAAAATGAAAAAAGAAAAAAATTAAGGATGAAAAATAAATTAAAAAATAATAGTAATAATAATATATATATAATATATTTTTATATATTTATATAATTTATATATAATTGATTTAATATTCAGTTTATCTTAATTTTTTATTTGAAAAAAGCTCTTAAAAATTTAAGAGGATTTAGCTAAATTTTTATCAGAAATCACAAATAAATCAAGAGTAATTTGTTAAAACAATCGCTCATTAATAATAAAAAATTTTGTCAGCACAGGTGTTTTCAATCAAATTTATTATGTAATTGAATATTATAGGAGAAAAACTCAGCCTGACCTACGCCAATTTTCATTTCGAAAGAATGTCACATCTTCCCCCATTCACAATTCCTCCTATATCTGATTAATTCGAATGATTTTCTCTACAACACCGTCGCATTTGATCATCCTTCAGAGCTTCGCTTTATTAATTTAATCGAATGCATTCATAAATCGTAAATCATAAATCATAAATTTTACGCTTCTTCTATAGCACAAATAATTAAAATTCTTGCAATTTTGTAATTATATGAGATTTTACATGATATTAAAATAATGAAATAAAAATATTACGCTAAACCTTGATCTAATGAGGTTTAGCTGATTTAAGATGATGTCACTGATGGAATATAATAGCGAAGGAAATAAGACTTTAAAATATTAAGGGAATATTTAGGAAAGGTTTTTTATAAAACATAGCAAGATTTGAGGAATATCAAAGTGCTCTGATACGACGAATTGAGATTTTCTAGGTTGCAGGGTGGATTGTTAAAGAATATTAGTGGATTAAAACAAACTGTACAACAAAGTTTTGAGGTCATAGTTTTGATTCTAAATCGCCACAGATTAATTAGTGCAAGTGTTAGCATGATGTAAGGGTTTTTAAGGAAATACTTGGTTTTTAAAGAAATAGCATGTTTTTTGATTAAAAAGAAAAGGGAATTTTATTGTATCATTAAAGATTACGAGGAATTTATCAATCAAAGGATTACAATGGTACATAAGAGATTAAAAGCATATAAGGAGAAATATGGTAAATATGTTACTAATGGTTTTGGCAAAAGAAAGCGAAGTTTGATGCATTGGAATATAGAGATTTCGAGAAATTTGCTAGAGAGAAAGGAGTCTGAAGGGTTCGAAGAAGGCACGTGCTATTTAAAAGGATATTACTGATAGCTTAGGAGTGAAATAAAACTTAGGTGTTATAGGGGTCTAAGGAATCGTCCAAATGGTTACTGATTTTGTAGTATTTTTTGGAAAATGATGAGTAGATGAGGTATTTTTTTTGTGGACGCATCTCCTCTAAAATAGCTTATTATATAGATTATATTAAGTGTAAAGAAAGAAAGGACGACAGCGATTGTGATAATATTCTCTAGTACCATTTTCAAATTGGTATGTTTGGTATGTTTTAAAGCACTAAACATTTTTGAAACTTTATCACTTTTTATCATTGCGTTTATTTTTGTGTTTAAAAAAAACACGTCACTTAAATACGTATTTAAATCAATTTCTTTGTTTTTTAATTAAAACTATTGTCCATTAACTATCGGCAATTAATTTGCACGCCATAAATCACTTGTCATATTGCCTATCAATAATAAAAAACAAAATAAAAAAAATTTTGCGGAAGAAAGAATCAGCCATTTTCAACTGATGATCTTTCATTATCTTTCATTGCGAAGTTAATTTCATACTTTGTGACCCTTAATTTACCACAAATCTTTTCCATTTTTTAGTTCATAGTAATATGTTCATGTTTAGCCATAATTTTCATAGTAATTATTTAGTAATTGTACGAAATTTTTGATGTTTTTTCATTGCAGATCTTTAGAGATTCTACGGATGGCCAACGACTATCCAACTATTATAATATTCAGCATTTCCCTGCTAATTTCATTATAGATCCCCGAACAGGTGAATTTTTGGAGCAATTCAGAATTCGAGATGTATTTTCGTTCTGCGATAAAAGTTTGCTTTTATTCGCTATTTGTCTTAGCAGAATTTGATTTTTTTCTGCGATTTATTCTTAAAATTGAGACCTCATAGCTGTTATATTTTGAAAAATTTTTTATAAAATAATTGAATAATCGGAAGTTCATAGAATTTTTGGTCTTGCGTTGTTAAATAATCTATTTCAGTTACTCAGTTTTTGGATGCTAATCCCGATTATGGTACTAGAGACTACCATCTTATTAGTGCACCGGCCCCAGCATTATCAATGGAACCTAGTTTATCTCTTTCGGCTGGTGTAAGAGACGTCAGATATACGGTTTGTTTTTCCTACTCAATGGTTCTGTTTCAGTAAAACATTTATATTCTTATGTTTATTATATTTTCCTTCGGTTTAAATCTTGCTTCTACAAAAATTTTTTGCAGTTGGAAACTGTTTCGATATCAAAACAACCGTCGAGAAAACGTGATAAAAGTTATTTAAATGTGGACTTAGAAACGTTTCCCCCGAAAAGAATTTGTAACGGTTTGTTTTTTTTTAAAAACAATCTGAAGTCTGAAAATCGTAAGATCTCAATCTTTATTGATATATATTAGGAATAGAGAGATTTTCCAATGGTTTAACTATGGATACTGAGTCAGGACCCTGCAATATTTCGAAACCGCGATCATGGAATTTCTATGTAAGTTGTCCTGACGAAATGGCTCAAAAACTTTATGTTATGCTTTCATTTCCAAATGGCGATCGCAGATGTATCGAAGTGTGGGATACTACTACATTAAAGGTTAATTTATTTAATTTTTAATCTTTAATTTAAGTTTTTTTACCTGTTTTTACCAGTATACTAATTACCGGATCTCAATCCCATTTCAGGCACTCTTCGTTCTCATTGAAGAATGTGGTTTCGATTCTATGGAGCATCAATTTATACTCACTTATCCAAAGAGAGAATATACAGTTATTCACTGTTCGCATACTCTCAGGGAGCTGGGTTTCAGTAAGCGTGAGCTTGTTCATGTGGAAAAGATATAATTTAATGTGCTTTTTAAGTTCGGATTTTCTTTTTTATTTTTTTATGAATTTAAATCCAAATATATCTCGATAATTTTGGAGCCCATGGAATGGGCTCATTGGATTTATTTGAGCTTATCTTATTTTTTTCTAGGATCAGTATTCTAAAAATAAGGGATTAGTTGAAAACGGTCGATGTTCCATGTTCCTTATGTTTAAATGCAAATGCTTTATGTTTTATTTATCCATTTTTTTAACTTCATTTTACTTCATGAATTTTAAATGTTCTTAAGGATTCATTCTGCTCGAATAATATTATTATTATTTTGTCGTCAGTGATTTCGAATTATTGTTGAATTTAATCCAACGACTGTAATATTCGTTCGGCAATTTTTTCTGTTTCTTGTCCTACCGAAAAATCCCATAACAAACCATTTCTTATAAGCGCAATAACGATCTAAAATATTTGAATTTCTTTGTATTTTTTTTTCATTTCCTATGACTGGTCTTTAAATTATTTATTATTTTTATATTTCTTTACTTCTGGAAAAATATCGCTTTATTATTATTGGTAAAAATTCTATGTGAATTTAAAAGATTATCAAGAGATCAACAAAAGTAACACTCTGGACCCAAAACAAAATAGTCATTTTTTTTTCGTATTTATATGAAACTGATATAAATGACTGATATAAAAGAAAAAGAAGAAAAAGATGAGCTAACTTTTCTTTCGGGATCAAAAATTACACGTTGTTGTCCGTGGCCCTCATGCATTAGAAGATATGACTGAAAGAAAAATGATTTCTAAAAGTAGTGACAGGATAACAGGATATCGTGTTGACTTAAGATCAAGTATCGTGAATTTCTATCCCTTGACGAGATTAAATTCTTAAAAGTAGAATTGAGATGGTTGTGAGAATCAACTTCTATTTATAACCCAAGCAAATTTTATATTATTTATATTCATATTTGAATTTTATATTAGTAGTGGCCGTGCCAGAAATGGCAATGAGTGCTTCTAAAATTCGATAAATAAGCATGAAAAGAAAGCTGTTAATTATCCCGATTGATGAAAGTAGTTTTAGCTTCAATGAAGGGTGTGATTGCAGATGATTCTGATTTTAAAGTAAGCATCATTTAATTATCATTTATTTTCGATTTCTCTCACTTTTTTAAAAATAAAACTTGGCTGAAAAAGAGAGTTAAATTGTTACATTTCGTTGAGTTGGGTGATTAATATAATATAGTCCATGTCCGCGATTCATTGTGCGATGGTCACAGATGTCTCTTTCGTAGCTGACAGGTCTCTTTAATTTAACCCAAACTTCTTCACTTATCAAATTGTTCTGAAATTTTAAAAATTTAAATAAATTAGGAAATTGTTCTGAAAACCTTCACACCAACTAGAATTTGAAATTTTTTTAATGAATTGAAATTAATTTTTATTAATTTTTATTAAGTGCAAGTTATTTTCACTGAGAAATTTTATAATTTTTTTATAGAATTTAGAGAATCTTCAGGTTTTGGGCAATTTTAGAACTTATTTGACGCATTCTTTTTTTATATCATCGAAAAATTATCGAATATTTAGGGAATAATTTTTCCACCAGAAATTTAAAGCTTGAACTTTTCCTTAGAGTTTAACAAGTTTTTATTTTTCGGAACCAACTGTCAAAATTGCTGAAATAGCGGACGCTAATCCTCTAGCCGTTCCGATTCCATTCGATGCGATATTAGTGATTTCTTGAACATCTGGATTATTGTAAGGCAATGAAATCTTTAAAGTACACTCAGAATTAAGTACTAGATGTTTAATATTTTTTAATATGAAAAGCAAAGCGTTCTGTTAATACCTAAAAAGAAATACTTTTAGATTAGTTTTTTATATTCTCCACACTTTTTATTTTCGGTTTACGTTATTTATGCCTCGAGAAGAAGTCGAAGTTTGGATTTTGCCTCAGATAAAATTAAGCATAAAATCGCGGTGGCGCTGAGGACTCTCTGGCAGTAATTCCTCAAATAACTAGAGCCATATCGGAAATGATGAATGCTGACAATGAACAGACAATGAATAGTCGTAATAGTCTTGAAGAGCGAAAATTGAAAAAATTAAAAAACCGAAAATTTATGAAAAGCAACTTGGATCACGCTCAACCATTTTGGTGTTGATGCCGATATTGCCATCAAGAAATTCCATTCACGAACTGTGTGATATAAAAACAAATAATGCTGCTTGTGTGTTGCAATAGCTCTTAGTACTTCGAAAATGTTTGGTTGTATAACTTTAGCGACTCGATAATGTTGCTGTTTCGGCAATCCCAGGAAAAAATCCTTGTCTAAATGAATTCCCAGGTCATATCCAATGGTTTATATCCAGTTATAAGCAGAGGGACTGTATACAATTCCTCCATAAACCGAAAGGAAATGCAAATAAATTTGCAAATAACCGTAAACCTTATTCAAAAAGTTTAGAATGATATTAGAGTCTTAAGTAGAAAATTTGATTAACTTGAACGCAAAATCTAAACTTCATTTTAATCCATCATTACAAGCCCAGGCGATAGGTGGGGAGGTCCACTTGCACTTCAGTCCCAAAACGATTTTCTGGTGAAAAGGCCCCATTATAACCAGTGGAGCCAGCAAAACTAAGAATCGCAGGTAGAGAAAGAAGAATGGTAAATTACTGCCATATTTAAATGAATGGATTAAATTAAATTTGACTAAAGTTGTTGAGAAAACCATACTGTGGAAATCCTGTCGCATCAAAGCCTTGTAATTACAATATTTACCTCTCATAAGTGGTCGTATTTCCTCTTCAAAAAATTGCTTTGCACCACGATTTTTTGGATCGGTCCGTCTTATTATTTGATCAACAAGCCAGCCAAGAGTTATCGCATGATAACCAATTTTTGTCCCAGGTGGCCAATGAGGCTTTGACTAAAAATGTTGCAAGTTATGAACCAGTGGAATAGTGCAAGTTGGTCTCTTACTTTTGGAATTACTGTTGACAAAATCAATTTTCAACCGAGATTTTAGGATCATTCGATCTGATCGTCTTGAACTATGATTCAATGAGTCGATTAATTAAATTAAATTATCTTAGGATCTGACAAATGTTCGTATAAGTTAGACCATCTTTTAAACATGTAATATACCTGTTCGATTAATTTCGCAATATACTCGTGGTCGTTTCCTCGTTCTAATGGTATTTCTTCGCTGAATGCTATCAAACCTGCCTGAAATCCGAGTGATTTTGCAAAATCTTAAAATCGTTAATCAAAATAAAGAATATAACTCTGTACCTTATGCTCAATTATCCACTGCACGGTGATATTTTTTTTACCATTTGCTGCAAATTCAGGCCAAAAATCGCTAATCTAAATGAAATTCGAGTTAGGTTAATAAAGATATTTGAATTTATCTTTTGTGCATAATTACCCATAAGTATTTCTGTTGCTTTCAGTGCTTTCACTAGTTATTTACTAACATTCTTCTATTTGATTTTTTATTCCTTGTATTCCTTTCTTTCAACAGATTTACAGGAGCACCGTTTCACCTGCTTGGGTTCTTTCTTAAACAGCAATATTATACTATACAATTATTTGATGCAAAAGAACGGATGTATGGTTTTTAATGAGATCATATGGCAGCGAAAAATGAAAGGTTATGGCAAATGGCAAAATTTAATCCACCTTAATAGTTTGAGGCCTTACCAAAGTATCGTATCTGAGATAATTCCTGCTCACTAGTATTGCAATAATAAGCGCTCCAATGGCTTTCGTAGTGGAAAATGTCATTGACATTGTATTCCTCTTCCATAGTCGGTTAATACTTCTTTAAAAACATAATTTTCGGAATAAAAATAGATGAACTATGAGAAAGAAATTAACAGAGTAAGTCGATTCAGTCAAAGAAATGCGTTGAATGATAATAATTTTATCAGACAAATCATTTTAGTGTTTTTGGAACAAATTTTTCACGCTTTTGCATAATATCTAAAATAGGCTTGAAAATTTCTCAGTAATTCATAGAGGCCTTATCAGATAAATTACCCACTTATCAGCATATCCTCCCCACAAGTCGACGATCAGTTCATTGTCCTTATATACAGCCAGTGCAATACCTTCTTTTTCGTTGCGTAATATATTACTGAAAATTAATTTAGAATCAGGAAAGAAATATTTTGCTTTGATTCGTATTTCTTAATTTTTTTTTATATGTCAAGTATTCCATAAAAAATGAATTTATTTGCCCAGACGAATGCTGAAAAGCGATTGCCAGCTACATCCGAAGTACTCTAATCTCAGTTTACGAGTGTATAAAACTACCTAACAAAAATTGACTGAAAGCAATAGACTTTAATTGATTAACCTAGATTATAGGAATCGGTTCTTGTTTTTAGCGATAGTTAAGGGAAAACGGAAAAATAACGGAGACAATTCGTTATTGCTGAGTAAATTACTGGTAGAACAAACATGGGAGGAATGAAAAACATCCAGGGATACATGGTAGCCGATAAAAGTGTTAAAAAAAGCTTTTCTAGTGAGAGACTAAAATTCTCTCCAAAATCTATGCAATATTATCCATGTTGCATTATTTGACACCCATTAGCCAGCAAGTACCATGTTTCTATAGAAATAATTAACATCTTAAACAAATGAATACGAATTAATTGCCTACTTATCAAAGAGTAATATTAGAGTAATAAGAGTAAAGAGTAAATATTCTATGAATTACTCAAAGTTTTTCTTTATGAATTCCATTTTTGGATGCACATTTCCTTCGGACTGTGTTTCATTTATCGGCCATTTCATTAGCCATCCTATTGTTAAACCAATTGTAATTGAAATCATTTTATTTCGAAAACTCATTTTTTCACTAAAATTAACTCAGTTGGTATAAAATATTAAGAAAGAAACACGAATGGTTAGTGATCATAGCTTTGCCAGAAAACCGTTAGAAATACAATTGAATTGTTAGCATCATCCGGATTTTTTGATTATAGATTTATTTCTGTAGAGGACGGAAGTTGAACCTTGACCTCCGCCTCCGAGTACAATAGTCTGTCCACTTGGCTATTCAGCTTCTTAATTAGCCTAATTCTCAGCCGTTTAAACATTTTTGCAAAAGTTATATGAGAGTAGATAAAAATGAGTCAAGACGAAATCCAAACGATAACTTTTTAAACCTATACTTGCAGAGAAAAGGGTCGGGAAATTTATGATGAGAATAATTTTCTCTTGATCTGGTGAATCTGTTTCGTGTCCGCATGAAGTTTTAAAATAATAAAAAATCTCGAAGTTAAATAATTTGCAAGCTAAGTACCAGATCATAAATAAATGATCTACGTTCAGCGGTTTTTTGTTCGACTAATATAAATGGTGATCGACTAATATAATGCGGAATATTCGATTCTTGCTGGAAAGAAAACGAGTCAAATCCGAGTGGTACTTTATCCATTTGTGCACCTATTCTTCATTTGCCAGAGGAAAAAGCCAATCCAGAAATGGTGGGTATTGAAATATTAGAAGATGAAAAAGAATTCAGCTGCCATGAGAAGACGTTATATTTCGGTCAAATATTGATAATTGTAAATAATTTAATTGTAATAACTGTTAAATGGGACATCGAATACGAAAAAGCCATAAATAAATCGAGATTGCTGGAGAAAGTAACCGGTTTTGGGAGGCGAATTTACTCGAACAACTAACCGATCAACTATTTAGAATCGATCACAAAGGCGTATCGATTATGAAGGCAAAACCTTTCGTACTGCCGGTTTTTATTGCAGAAAATACTCGATAAATATTAAAATCTGCAACAATGGGACAGAATGATGGATAAAATTTTTGCAGAATAGCAGACTCCTGATTCGCAAAGAAATCGAAATCTTCAGGTCGATTATCTCTATTTTAGGATTTATCAAGCGATTCTGCTATGGAAAGCTAATAAGCAAAAAATTAATTTTCCGGTGCCTCTTTCTTATAATAACTTTCTTTATCCATTGTGGTTAGATAAACGACTTTGACTTGACTTTTAGAATGGATAGTTGTAACATTTCTTTTATTAAACTTTCTCAGTTCATTGAGAATGAGCAAAAGGTGAGCAAAGCCATGTATGTTAGAAACAATAACCAAGTAAGATAAGTACAGCCAAATTCTATAGAATTCTATAGAATTCCATATAAACCTCCAACGATTCTTTTGTCAGAATATTTCGCAAATGAATGGGAGAAAGGAAAAACAATTATGGAAAGCAATAAGGTGAAAAATCACCTTTGAAGTCCTCAAAACATGAAAGAACTTTTTTCATAGCATTTCATGAAATAAGCAAAAAATTTTCGAAAAGAGCTTAAATGAATGAATATTTGCAAATTTATTAATTTTTCACGGATAAAATATGATAGAATTGTTTTCCCAAATTTCATCTTTCTCGTTAAAATTGTTTTTTTTCCCTAATTTGTTGGGCAAATTTTGATGAACTTAAATTTCGCTTCTAACTAACGTTTTTAATGAACTTAAATAATTTCAGGAAAATAAGCTTCAAGAAACCTTTTAAAGCAAATACAATATATCAATATTTGGAATGAGTTATAGCCATTAAACTTTTATATCACTAAAAAAAACGTTAGTTAGAAGCGAACATAAACACAAAACTACTATTTTTTGAGAACGAATTTACTCATTTTATTAAAAATAATAATAAAATTTTCGCATTGAATATATCAAAAAAATTCCTCCGAAAATTGAAATTGAGTATGAAAAATTTGGAAAGAATTTTAATCATTAATCAATCATTATGATTACAAATAAGGAAAATTTCATCGATGAAATAAACAATAAGTTCAAACGTGGCTGATATATTGCACTACAGGCTTATCCTCAGCATGGCAAACTCCAATAAGTCCACATGTTATAAGGCCAAGTATGAAGATAACAATCGCGCTTACTATAAGATTGCAGTATTAAAAATTAATTAAAGTTGACAATATATATGGTATTGTATTGTTGTGTATTGCCTAGACAATGATTTTAAGCAACATAGATTCAGTTTCATTCTATTGATAGAAGTAAGTCATGTCATTAAAAGTGGAATCCAGATGGTGCTGAAAACCCACCTATATCTCCAAATTCTTCTCTGAAAGTGATTTATAGTCCGTGAAGTCAGTCAAACTACAAACTTTGAGTTATTTCGAAAAAAAATTAAATTACTATTTATAAATTGTTAAAAGCTGATGAATGGGGATAGAATGGCTCAGTGGGTTGTTGCTCAATTGGGAGCGCCGATGCTGAGGTTCGATTCCTCGCAAGACTGTACAAAAATCCGGATGATGCTGGCGGCTCACCTGCTCACCTGTATCTTTTTCGCTTCTCACCTGGTATATTGCCCAATGCAACAAACCAGTGGAGTTTAACCAGTAATGGTGAGGACTTTTTAAAAAAAAAAGACTGAATAGAAGATATAGGGCAATAAATCATACTTGCAACAATTATGCAAATTTCTTCCATCTCCATGTCCTCATTAACCGTCGAATATGGGTCGTCAAGTATAGTAGATTGTGAAACAATTGAAGCATATGTTGACGAATTACGAACTGCACTTGGTTTCACCAAGGTAGCTATAAAAATGTCCAGATGCAGTATTGATCAACTCAACATAAATATTAGCACTAATCGTATGATTTCAAACATTTCTGGCATCGTACGATAAAATTTTGAAAAGAAGAATTTTTTCTCATTTCAGGTTTTTTCGTCTTTCTTCATAATCGATATATGTACTAAATTTTTTTTGAAAATGTGCAATTTTATGTGTAATTACTCAAATATGTGTAATTACTCAAATTGATATAAATATCCATTTGTATTAGTATACCCCAAGTTGACTCTCTGGCAAAGGGTAATATTTAATAACCAATGGAGAAAGCCAAAGCAGTAATATAGAAGAATTACCATCAAAAATTAATGGATGAAAGTAAATAGAACGAATGAATTCTGAAGTTAAAAAGAAACTTTTTTTTCTATAAACTCTAGCCACTGCTGGTTCAGTCCACTCCGTTGGTTTACCGGAGCAGGTGCTAGAGAAATTTTGTGCCAGAAAGCCAGATGGCGATAGCAGCATAGATTACCCATCAGCATCGTCCCGATTTTCGAAAGATAAGGTTACTCCTGCCTGATGTGGAACTTCAGCATCGGTGTTCGAAACTACAGAGTATCTCTTTAATTATCTATTCTTGTTTTCGCCATTCGACGGCACTACCAAACGCAGTATATCGGTCGTGTTCGAAATCGATCCACCACGATTCTCGGCAATTATCATGCCGCTAAGCCTTCGTCGAACCATTAACAAGATTTATCTCCAAGTCTTTGAATAGAAAATTCTTATTTCCATGAGAAATTAAGATATTAGTCGATTATTATTGCAGACATTTAATTTTTTATTTGCTTACTTAGTATTCGCTACATCAATAGCTGAATGCATTAAGCTATGGATTTAACTTTTAACTCAAACGTGAAGTGTTTAAAGCAATGGAGAATGGATTATTGTTTTTTCTAAGTATGTGTTCATCCGAAGTCTATCCGCAAATATCATAAATTCTGAAAAAAGTCTAGAAATAAATTAATTTTCATAGGACACATCCATTTTTAATGGTCCTCGAGCCTCGAAATGTCAATTTAATTGAATTTTTGTACTTCAGTTGATGGAATTTAATGATAAACTTCTGAGCTACTCTAAGAAAAAAATTGTGATACATTTTAATTTGTCAAAAAATTACCGATTGCCGATAAAATGGTTATCGATATGGATAACGCCTTGATGGCCATCTTTCGACTTTAATATTACTATTGTGAACCACTGGATATTTTAGTCGCCATGGTTATTTATTACATTATAATATTTCATCCTGCGTCCAATTATTAAACAACCAAATGTCAACCGCTGAAAGCGAAATCTAGTTTTAAACTGAACTATTGTGCTCGAATCCATAAGTAAATTATTATAATATATTATAAGTTTGGCTTCCAAATTATTAACTTAATAAATGGTAAAATTAGAGTTTATATACGTTATTTTACTTAAGTGTAGAGAATAACAAACTTAAATGCTTGCGTGAACCTTTATTTTAAAAAATTGGATTAAATAAAAATGAAACAATGAGTAAAACTGCTATAGGTTTAACTAAAGCAAATTCACCAAATACTTTGGGTTAAAATTTTTTGCCATAGAACCACACGGCGTCAGAAATATTGGTGGCTGATCAGCACTGTTTTTAATGCTTATATCTGTCAAGGCCATAATCCACCTTTCAGCACAATTATCTGAACCATATTATTAAAAATGGTAAGACTAAAATTATTATGGCAGTCAAAACGGACTGACGCACATTTAAGGTAATTTTGCTAATATTATGGATAAATCTGGCTAATTAATTTTGATTAATTTTGAGAAATGCAAGGTGCATACTCGTAGATAGTGATGCAGAAATTTTAACATAAACCTTGCCTCTGCACACGATAACCTAAATCCACCAACCATGCACCAGGTTATCGTAAGGCAATTTTACTCTTTAGTTATTTCTCTATTTTCTTTTTATATTATTCTTGTTTTGTACAACGTTTTTTTTCGATTTTATTCTGCTTGTTTCAGTAATATCAAAAAAAATTCGGAATAACATGAACAACTGGAAGGTTGGTGGCTCACCAGGAAGCGTGAGGAGTTTTGCCACACGAGAGGAGAAGAATAGACATTAGCTTTCAAAAGAAATCGAAAAATTAAATAAATAAAGATTCCAAATCTTTCGCAACCAGGTCGTGCTACTGACACATTGGATGAGAGGTTTTAACTCTTTCGCGGCCACCAGATATACATATTTTCGCTTTGTGGCTGCTCATGGTTTAATTTATTTTATGTTCATCTTGTCATAACCGTTTATCTACTTCTAGTCCATCGACAGTAACTTTTTAATAAGACTTCATGATAGCAATTTTTATTTAGATATAATGTGGCCCCACTAAAATTTATTTTCTACTTTACCTTTATCAGTGTGGAAAATTATCAATGATGAGAGTCCAAAATGATTCATTGAAAAAAAGAAAAATCAGTTAGCTGAATTAGAACAAAACTACCATTAAAAACGAAACCCGCCTGATACTAGAAGAGCATCTTTATTTCTATCCCGAAAGGATTCTCTGGCGAAAAGGTACCAATGTATCAATAAATATGCAATACAGCAAACTAAGTGAAAGCGATATTATTAATAGAAATAAAACTGGTAAGATCAGGCAGCTTCCGTGGCGCAATCGGTTAGCGCGTTCGGCTGTTAACCGAAAGGTTGGTGGTTCAAGCCCACCCGGAAGCGGTCACTTTTGTGCGGGAAGTTAATTTTCTCGATAATGCGAAAAATGCTTAGTGAATGGATGTGATGTGCCCTCAAGGAAAATATGCAGTCTAAAACAAACGGGAAGAGTAAAAGCAAAATATGTTCTGCAAGAAAGGGACTGAATAAGGGAAATTGGATAAACGGAGTTCCACAGGTCTACAACATTTTGTGACATTTGTTTCCATGAGCGATGCAATGTAGCAAACAGAACTCTATTTAGCAAGCGAAGCAGTGTGTTAATCGTTGAAAAAATTTGCGTGTTGTCAACATAATTTACCAGAATAGTTGTAGGAAAGGTGCCACAACAATACCTCAACTGATTTGACCCATTCGAACCCAGTAACTTATTCAGAATGCCGACTCCGCTCAATCTGAATCCTGTGCAAGCGGTGACAAGCGATTAATATTGTGCTGCAAGATTTCGACTTTTAGAATTGTGTGTTGGTTTGAACCGAACTTTTTTCTTTCTTTTTGGGTGATGGGTGATGATCTTTTTATTTGGGCAGTGCGAAGGGGGAGGGGGGAATATTTTAGGGGATTTTTATTTAATATATTTAAGGAAATTACCAATGAACTAATATTTCGGCGAACGAAAATTTCAAAATTTTTCTAATTAATTTTTCATTAATAAATGAATCGATTTTGATTTAATATTTTCGTTGTGAACCGAAGAAAGTTGAAATATCCTTTTTTTAAATACTGCATTATTGAATTGCTTCAGCTGATTTCCAGGAACACAGGTATTTTTCCAGCGGTCCTTTTTGCTAGAAATAAGGCTTGGATGGTGCCGCAGGGCATTCACTGTCTCAGGTGACTGTCTGGCATAAAGCTAGCATTCAGTGGCACCAACTAAACCAGCACTAGTTGGTACTACCAGAAGAAGTTGGTTTCTTTTTTATTAGCGTTTTGGACCGTTTAATAGTTTAAATAAACAATTTCATAAAAATGGCTCTAGATGTTATAAGTAATTCGTCATGCAGAATATTTGCATTCCCTTCTTCAATAGCATTAGGCTTAAACTTCGTGATTATAGGGGTGAGTCCAAGCATCTCGATCCGGTCTCATATTTTCTTCTGCCTCATTAGGAATTCTGCTTTATTCTATTTTATTTTACCGGCACGTGGTGTCTCTCCCCATCCCTTCGCTTTTGATCTTTCTTATGTCCTAAATTCTCATCGTTGCATTTGTATATAAATTATGCCCAGCGCCATATTGGAATATACTCAGGTACCAAGTATTTCTATTTTTATACTTATATGCATAATTTAACAAGAAATGCTTAAAATTCTATGGGATTGTTTTAGAAGGCATCTTTGACACATTGTATAGCACTCTATAATATTTTGGTGTTTTTTGATGTCGTGTACCATATAGTTGCCTGAAATAACGAATTAATTATTTTATTTTCAGAAATGAAAAAATGCCGTTATTCTCACGAAATTTTGGGTGGAATGTGCCTGGTGAATCAGTTCCAGATTCTGTTCCAGATTCTTTATATGAGGGTTATTCGGAAACACGCAGTGAGCCTATTGATTTAATTGCTGAATTAATCAGTTGTCGTGATATTCAGTCGTCATCGTCAGTTCAAGCTAAAACAAAGATTTTTTTATCGGAAACACAGCCACTTCAAACTCAAGAAATTCATGAGCTCCATGATGACACAAGAATTAATAACGAAAGTTTTGATCCATTGTTTGTAAGCGATGAAAATAGTTTGAATGAAACACTTCCTCCAACAAGATTTTATGAAAATCCCGAAGGTTCTCAAGTAAATTTTTCGTCTTCATATCTTAACTGTTACAATAATTCTTATTCGTATGATTCATGCTTCAAAAAAATTTCTTCCAAGAACCTTTTTACTTCCTGTCCATCCTCTGAAGACATTGGACATCCGACGGATTTCCATCATTTCAAAAATATTCAACAAATTCTGCAAAATGAGAATTCAGTTGGAAAAATTTTCAAGAAAGATCATGGCAAATTATTTGAAAAACATAAAATTTTCTGTGGGGAAACTTGCAATTCATTAAAAAAATCTCTCGATAATAATACTGATTTAGATGACAGTGATATTCACTCAGTTAGCAAAATTATAGCGAAAAAAATGAAACAAAGTCGATTGCAAGAAAGTAATCGGAAACGAATTAGTTCCTTAAAAAATTTATATTCTGCGACGGATCAGTGTCGTCAACGAAAAATAGATGATTGGCTTTTAAGCAAAAATTCAGAAGATGCCAAAAATGCATCAAGACTTGTTCCATTTTCGAATATCGCAGAAGGTCCTAAGCAATTAGCCAAGAAGCTTCACCATATAAAGAAAAGCGAACCATTTTTAAAACCACTTGAAACGAATTTATCCAATATACCAGCGCAAAAGGCAAAGTATCATTTTAATTCATCAGGAGTTAACCGATTTCCAGCAAATGAGGGAAAAGAAAATGTGGAAATTAATGCAGGTAAATATCGTGCTGAAGAGTCTCTCGATTCGAACTTGAAAAAAATATTGAAATCGCCAACCGTTCATTTATATGAGAGCGAAAGAAATAAGCGAATTGAATCGTTAGTGGGTAAAATAGTGCGTAAGAAAAGTGAACGTCAGTTTTTGAAAGGATATGAGTGTAAATGCTGTGAGCATTATTATGATGCTTTGAAGTTGGATGCAGAATCTCGGATGGAGCGAATCAACCAGGTATTTCCTGTGTAATTATTTTGATTTTGCGTTTATTTTACTTTTAGTTCAAAATATGACATTTTTTATACGTTATAGTGAGATTAGATGTTATGTCATAAATTTTTCTCAATTAGGTTTCTTAATTTAAGGTATTACCATTGCAGAACCTGTCGATTTCCTAAGATTGGAATTTCAGGTTAGTAGACATCGAGCGATTGTTGAATTGCCTAGCACCCCTGATCATTACTGGGAAGTTGGAATGGCAGATGAAAGCGAGCAGCGACGAAGGGGTCAAATTATTGAAACCAACTCACCGCTTGGAATGAAAACGCGCAATTCCATTTATCGATCTTGTAGAAGAAAATTGTTTTATTAATTAAATATGGATTATTGGCCACTTTATTATTGTTTTTATTTTTTATTATTTTTAAAACTTTTTTATTATAATCCTGCCTTGCTTTTTATTTATCTCATATCATTGATTGTTTTTCAGTTTAAGTAGATCGCCATCTTTTTTTTTCTTTTAATTTTTACATGGGAAAAAATTGGAACAAATTTCCGAATTTTTTCTCATTTTTGGTTAAAGAAAAGAAAAAAACTATTCCATTTCAATGCCATTACAGTTTTTCAGTTTTTTTCTATTCCACTGTTTTATTTTGTTTATAGTTTAAATTTTGATTTTTCGATCGAAAATTAAAATGTCATTTATATAATATGAGCATTATTATTATCAGGACGCAACTTTTTATATAAAAAAATCTCAAGAAATTTTTTTCTTTAACATTTAAAAATTTGCATTGGTTCTGCGTCATTTAATATTTAAATTATAATGCAATTGTAGTAATAAAAAAAATTCAGCCAAAAAGCTTTTGTTTTTATGGGTGAATAATCTTATGAAATTTTTTATAGAATTTGGCTTGTTTTAAATTTTTTCTTTTTTATTATATGGTTTTATTCCAGAACTTCTTTGAGAGGTGAAAATGTATATGTTTGGCTCAGGTAAGTTAAGCTTATAAAATTGATGAAAATATGAGTTTGAAAAAAATGAGTTCCAAGGTGATTATAAAATAGATGAAATGGGTTTATTTTTCGAAACGTCTTCGTATTTTTGTCCAGTTGTAGTACTGCGTGGTGAATATTTTAATTTTTAATGTATTTGCATATGTTTCATATACTCATGTATTAATTTAATTTTTCGTCTGTGAGTAGTTGAGGTAATGGATTTTTTGGAATTTATACAAAAAAGTGCGGGAAAAGAAAAATAATGTCGATCGGGTTTATTAATAATTGTTCCTTCAGGTGTACGTGTAGTACAATTGGCCGCAATAAATATATTTTGACATAGCAATTGTATCGCTTTATGAGGCTAAATTCAAAATGGAGAAAAACGCGGAAAATTTGAAAATACAGTTCGAAAACGAGTGGCAAAAGTTGAAGCAACTTGAGAAAGGTTGTTTTTTTTCTTTTAAATTATGCTAGAGTTCTTGAATTTCATTGAATGAATTTGGTTCTTTTAAATCGAACTTGAGGAAATAAATCATATTTGGTCTGAAATAAAAAATAACTGTTTTGATTCGAAACTTGGGAAAAATTGTAGTTATCAGTGTAAAGCTTTGTTATGGGATGTTTTTTATGTTTCTTATTTTTTCCGTGATTGCTGATTTTTTACTTTGAAAATTGAATCAAAATTTCTAAGATTTTCAGATAGAGAAAAAAATATATTTAATCGGCAACAGCTGGAAGGACAATTAACGGAAAATAATCTTGTTAAAACGGTTCATTTTTCACTTATAAAATTGATTAGTTTTGTCCACTGCCATTATCACGAATTTTAAATTTAATTTTTATTATATTTTTATTTTTATATTAAATTTAATTTTTAAATTTACTTTAATATCAGGTATTTTTTTATTTATTTTGTTAGATAGATCTACAAAATTTTTTCGGTTCATTTCTTTTTTTATTTGGTCTTTGTAAAAATTTTAAATTTTTTATCAGTAGATGATTTCAGGAGCTCGATTTGCTCGAAGAAGATGCTACAGTTTATAAATTAATTGGTCCAGTTCTTGTCAAACAAGATTTGTCTGAATCGCGACAAAATGTTGATAAAAGAATAGCATATATAACGACGGAAATGTGGGTTTTTTTCAATTTTAATCGAGTTTTTTCCGTTTTTTCCATTTTTCTTTTCTCAGTTGCTTTCTATAATTTGATCTTTATAGTGATACACCAATTAAATTAATTTCAAATAAGTAATAACCATAGTTGAATATGCTATTTTCTAGAAAGTTTATGACTCAAAGATTAAAGAAAATGATACTTAATAGAAAAACATTGACTATACTATGTTGTTGTATGTTATGTTATTTATGGCAATTTGTTTTAAGTAAAAGATTGGAAGAAACAATGGCGGATTTCAATCGAAAGGAAGAAGAGCAAAAACAGATCCTAATAAAAATTCAAAATTCTCTTAAGCAAAAAATTCCTATTGATAGCTGATGTTTATTTGTTTTTTCGATTGAATTTTGTGCTGAAAAAATTACATAGTCAAATATGACTGTTTATGGTGAGAAAATTTTTTTCCTCCATAATTCGCCTTCTTTAAAATAAATTTAATTGGATTTCTCAGTTTTTTCTGAAACTTTAAGAAGATTTATTTAGTTTATCTATGCGTCTGAAACAATGTCGTTTACTATAGAATGCTCTAATTTTTTTATGAATTTTCTGTTTATAAGCTCTTTTGACTTAAAATTCTGTTTGTAAAAGTATTGCTTAATAGAATTTGTGAGAAAAAAGGTGAAAAGTTCTGTTTAATTTTTTTGTGACAAGAATATAAACTGAATCATTTCAATCTTCAGATCTACTGTCCATTGTTGTGCTTTTTTTTTCGTTGTTAAAAAAATTTAGCATTGGCTAAATCAGCCATTTTTTCTAAATAACTTTAATTTTCGCCATCGAAACGCTAAATAATATTTGAATCATTCAGATATTTTTTGAATATTTGTTTTGTTTATTATTGTAAATTATTTTCAAGCACGACAATGGCATATTTTTGCGATTTGGAGAATTTTAAGAGAAATGGTTAACGAATTCGTTTTCAAAAAACAAGAGTTATAACAAAGTTGCAGGCACATGTTAAAGTTTTTTTCAATTTTTCGCATGCTACTTTCCTTTACTTTCTTGAAATATTAAGGAGTGGGCTCATCGGTTGAAAGTGCGAGAATTTCCATTTCGAAGGTTTTGTCTTTTCCAGTGTTCAGAATTCATTCTGTCAATTTTCGTCATATATCTATGCCATTTCAAGATTGTTTAGGAATTATTTATTTAAGCATTCTTCACTGTCGTTGAAAATTTTTAATTTCCGTCTTTCCTTTGTTTTTCCTCAAATTCAAAAGTAAATGAAAAAGGAAATTATACGATTCAGATTGTCAACATATGTCATTCAGTCGAAAAGGTGCACCATTTTCCCGGTTTTCTACTGCTAAAATTTTTTCTGACAGTTCATTATAGTTGCAAATGAATCATTTCCGAAATAACTTAATATTTGTGCGAGGTTTTATTCCACAATTTTCAAACTTTAAATGAAGCAGTAAATTCGTATTTAAGCGAAAAAATAGAGTTTGACGTGCATCGGGAATCGCGTCGATTAGCGACGAAGAAGGGGGAGGCATTTTGACGATTAAATAGGAATAATCTCTGTAAGAGTAAAACTGAAATTGCAAGAATTTTCATTTCGAAGGTTTTGTCTTTATCAATTTTCGTCTTATACCTAAGCCATTTCAAGATTGTTTTTCCTGAATGACGTCTTTGATAAATCCTTCAAGAAAAAAGAAATTTTTCGTTTATTTTTTCATTTTTTTCGAGTGGTTATTAAAATTTTTGTGATTTATTCGTTCGCACTTGTGAATTTGCATTTTCAGTTAATTTTTTATTACTTTTTGAATAGCGTTTTCCAAACAATTCGCTATTGTCGTCATTATAAAAACGTTTTTCTTGGCTGCAAACTGCTCGCTCGTAACCCTGAAGAATTTCGTAGTCGAAGGAATTGGTGAAAATCGCGTAAGTAAATGATGTTAGAAGGAGGAGGGCTATTTCAGCTTTAATTATGGAATGCAGATTAGATTTGAGGATAGATTCTCATCGCAATAAGCGTACGAAGAGAAGGCAGTCTGTTTATTATAAATCTCGCTAAGTGATAAGTATTGATAATTATTTACGGGTCGAAATGCAAGTAAACTTCAGGTTAGGATAGATTTTTCCAGCTTAAGTCTTGTATTTTTTTGATTTTTAGTTTTCCATTTAAATCATTTGAAAACTTAAATTTATTTATATCTTCTCTGCTATGTGGTGCGTCGGTGGTTCGGTAGCAAGCTGTCTGCCAGCGAGAATTGAGGCTTGGGTTGGAATTCGCAGAGGAAAAGCAAAGGAAAACAAAACGACTTAGTGGGTTGTTGTTGTTCAGTTTGGAGCACCGGTGCGAAAATTCTACTCCCGTAGGAGTTCGAAAATTCAGGTGAGTGGCGACTCACCTGTTCCCTTGCCAAGGGACTCCCTGAAATGTTTGCCTAGTCAGACAAGTCAGCGGAACGGGCATAACCACTAATTCTTTAAAAAAATTCTTGCCTAAGTTAATAAGTAAATAAAGAATTAAAGGCTTGGCGCTATTTCGGCTGTTTTTGCGGCGAGGGATTTCTGGCAGCGAGCATTTACCTGAAAAATGGGGTGCTCGCACTGCTCAGGTTTTTTAAGACAGATTTACTGCTGTCGGATCAATGATTCTCCACTAACAATTCTTTTTTTGTTACTTCTCTATGAAACTTTGTTATTTTTATGTATAGCAAGTTTTATGCTTTAAAATGGAATTTTTCTAGAAATGAAAATTTGAAAGAACTGAATTAACTGAAAAAACATGTATTGTTTTTTTGTGGAGATTTGGTTGATATGTTTTATATCTATTCAATAAATGATTTTCGATTATTCATTGGCAGTGTTTTGAATTGCCAACGTGGTATCTTTCGAAAGGGGACTCTCTGCTAGTCACGGGGGCTCCTCTTGGCTATTTTTCTTTGGCTCTCAAGTGAGGCGATTTCAGCGAGTCTAATTGCATTCAAATTTTACTTTGATATATATTTCCGTTTAGCATGTTAAAGTTTTGTAACTGAAAATGGAATACCATTTAATGCCTTGGAATTGGCGTCTTCTTACTGTAGCGATACGAATTGCATTGTTCATCAAATCTTTTTTTCCAGCGACTTTCACCATTTTTCGTTGATATCATTTTATCAGAGACATCATTTTATCATTTTACCGAAGTTCTGGCGGTTTCACCCGGATTTTAAGCACAGTTTCAATGTCTCCAAGGAACGATAATTCAGTCTGTGATATTTTAAGTCATTTTCGAAGCAACACTCGACGATTCTATCAATTAATTTGATAGGTGAAGAACTTGTCCCGTTATATTTCTCACTTATTTGAACTGCTTCACAATTTTTTTCTTCTTCTAATATTACTAGTTAGTTGGTCCAATGCCATACAGAAGTCATTCCTTTTTCCACCCCTCTATCACTTGGTTATTTTTACGCTCAAAATCTTTTCTGACTGTATCAATCCAGGTCTTGATTTATCTTCCTAGCTTTCGGCACCATCCGTTACTAAGTTCAAAGTAGTGGTCTAACCAGTGTATGCAACGAAATTGTTAATGCAGATAGGTAGGTGAGCGAAAATAAATAAAAAACAAAATAAACGCAATTATGTGAAATTTTATGTTTAGCGACCGACCCGACCCGAATTATAGTTTAAACATGAGAATTTAAAAACAGATAATCTCTTGCATTTTCATCAACCATGTTTCGCATCAATACGCTATTTCTTATAGGTATCTCCAGATGAAAGGACACATTTCTAGCTGCGGTTATCCAAACTGCAATTTCACCTTCCGCATAGTTTGGTATTAGAGTGGGTCCAAGGTATATATTTAAAGCATGTCAGTCAATCAGTCGATGAATTAGTGAAAAAATTTGTTACCTTTTATCACCGTTCGGTACACAAAACAAAAAGGCGTAAACAAAAGTCCCTTGCATACCTCGTGAATGCCCTTAAGCAATGTCCATTTTATCGCATAATTTAATAGTATAAAGGAATGCAACACAGCTAGAATCTCAGTTCATAGAAACAGACTTGTGCCAGTGCACTGGTAAACTGGTATGTCTTTATGATTCGAATGATCTTCTCTTGAACACTTTTACACTTCATCACTATCCCACTCTATTAATTGGATAGCGACAAAAATAATGATATAACCGCAAAATAAAACAATGTGCTGCCGATATTGACGCGATGATAGTCTCTTTAATGTGAACGTTTGGTCAGCACTTTTGAATCCAGTTTATTTAGAATTCAGTTTATTTAGCCAGTCATTCCTTTTTTCCACACCAGAAAATATATCTATTGAACGTGAGTTGTTACTTTGGTGAACATTTGAAGAGGTCAAGTGTCTTAAGGAAGGCATTCCGGGAGTTTTATTGGCCTTAAGCTTTTGAATGACCAAGATTATTTTTTGCTTTGTTGGTAGCACGCAATTGCAAACATAGGGTTCTGCAGGATCCGAGTCGAGATAGGTCCGAGATGGCAAATGGCGCATCATAGTCAAATTTATTGCACCAGGCAATTTTTAATAGCTTTAAAAGGCATACCATCATTATCTCGGATTAATTCGCAAATCATTTCTGAGTTGCTTTATGAAAAAGGTGTAGCAGTTTCCTATTATTGCCTACTTTGGCAGTCGTTTCCATATTCAACGCCATACCATTCAAGTAGTGGTTTTTGTCCCTCCATGCTGTTGTTGTATACCTTTGAAGCATCCGATACCAAGATGTTCTGATATGCTCTGTCAGCCTTTCGATACAGATAGGGCATCTTATCCAGCTAGGGCACCATTTCTCAGTGTTATATATTCTAGCGTAAATTTAACATACTTTTGGAGACATACCTTTAGTTACGACTAACATTCATTGGTTTCAGAGATGTCGTTAATAATTCAGCTTAGTTATTATTCTCAAATTTTGTGGCTTTTCCGCGCATCATTTAAATTAAGCGGATTTAAGCGGATCGAACCACAACATATCTAATCCTAAACAAGTTACTCTTATAGTTTCAGTGGTAGGAACGGCTATCTAGTGTGGAACATTTCCAACAAATGATCAGGATATAGTCAACCTGGTTGGAATATCGGTTATCCAGACTGTTCCATGTGAATAGATGTTAGTAGAGAAAAGTCCATTCGGAAAAGCAAAGAGCGCATCGAGCTTCTGTTCCATATTTGCCAACGATAGAACCTGGCGTGGCAGCATCGTGACATATGCATGCATTCTATTTTTCTTCTTCTATGACCACTTCATCGAAGTTCCATATGGAACCTTTGTCATGATCATCTGAATAAAAATTGCAGTTTATTCATTTTATTCTCAAGCCTTCTCAAGCTTTCGAATCGTTTTACTAGCAC